CGCGTCGGCTCCCGCGGCATCGGGACGAGCGCCTGCGCCAGCACCGGCATGCCGCGGAAGAAGAACATACATGAGAGGGGCACCGCCAGGAGGCTGGTGCGGCTCTGCAGCACACCGCGGAGCGACGCCACGTAGTTGCGCCCCGAGCGACTGTCCGGGAGGACGCGGAAGAAGATGTTGTCTACGCGGTAGCACTGCAGAAACTTGGGCAGCTCTCGCGGGCCATCGTCGTCCAGCATCACGATTTGCTTCACAGTGTACGTGGCCTCCGCCACAAACTCCCGCTCGACGCGGCGCAGCTGCTCCATGCGCACCTCCGCCTGGGAGATCGTGCTGTCCTCCATCTCCCACGCCAGCTGGAACTCGGCATTCCAGTTGCGGTAGGAAGAGGAGTGGTCGGCGGACGCCGCCACAAACGCGCGGTCCATTAGGGATACCCGCTTCCTTCCTTCCTTTTTCCTTCTGCGTTTGGTCCCTCCCTGAGAGTGCAGGCTATAGAGAGGAGAGAGGTGGGTGGGCGAAGGAGAAAGCCAGAGTCATTGTGAGAGACGCAGCACCGCCGGGCCCGAGCAGACGATGCCGCATGCAACGTGGGCATTTATACCGCCATCCGACCCGCTTGCTCTTCTGCCGCCGCGCGTCCTCCGGCGGCGCCCACACAACCGCACCGCGGCCGCAGTCGCACCAGCGGCGGCAAACAAGAAAGGTAAAGCAATCCTGCGGAAAAGAGGAGGAAGCACGTCCTACTGCTTCAACGCAGACACCCCACCCCATCCGTTCCATCCACCGCGGCGTAGGATTTCTCGAGTTCCCCCTCCGGCGACGTCTTTCACTACAGGCGTATTTGCAGCAAATCGTCATACTCTTCGGTATCGGCCTCTCGCGGACGCTTGCGCTGCTCGGGCGCCTTCGTCACCCCCTTCAAAAGCTGCGTCCGCACATCGCTGCGCTGCATGAGCGACTGCAACTGCTCCTCCTCGCTGACGCCCATCTTGACGTGCGACACGGCACGCTCCAGCGCACTAGGGGCATCCTTTTGCGCCTGCTGCTTGCGAAACTCCCGCCGCCCACCGCGCTTCTTCTTTGCCTCCTCCCCCCGCACGAACACCTGCGGAACCGGGAGCGCCTGCGTGTCGGTGGCGTTGACCTTCCCCTCCGCCAGCAGCACCTCAAAGCTGCGCCGCACCTTTTCGAGTTCCGCCGCGCCGAGCGCGCCTGTCGCGGGGCCACCGGCAAGGTCGGCCTTGGCGGCAATGCTGCACTTGCGGGCCAGCACGGCAACTGCCTTCTTCGCTGCCTGCATATCGTCCGCCCGCACCTCGTCGGCGCCAAAGAACTCCACAAACACGGGCGCCGCGGCAATTTCGCCCGCGTGAAGGTGCCTGGAACGCTGAAACTGCGAGGCGGCGTCGAGGCCGAGGTGGCGAAGGGCCACGCCTGAGAGGCGGGCGAGACTCGCCAGACCACCAGCCTGCTCCACGAGCCGCGCCGCCACCTCCCGCCCGACGAGTGCAGACAAATTGGGCAGCGCGGCCACCCCGTCCTTCGCCATTTTCTTCTTCCCTCCCCGCAACTCCCCCTAACTCGCTGTGCAGGCTGCACTTCTTTATTATTGCTACTATTACTTTTGTGGGCGTTGGCTGCGGCCCCACACGCGGGATGAGGCGGAGACGCTAACAGGCAATGCGAAGCAGCAAGCAGCAGAAACAGACGCGTATACACGGGCATGCAGACACAGATGCGCGGCAGGAGCTCACGCGGGAACCCCATGAAGCAAAAACCAGCCACAAGGCAACGAATTCATTTAGACGGACTTTCCACGCAGAGGGCAATGGCGGTCAGTTTCCGCCCGCCGTCTTCGCGCAGCTGCTTAGAAACTGACACATGCACCCACCTACAGACAGGGAAAGAAAGATAGAGAAGAGGGAATATAGAAAAGATAAGAACCACTTCCTCTTGTTCCCTTCTTTTGACTC